CCACCCTCGGCCACGCCCCCTGGCCAGCGGGGGTCGACTGGTGTCCCAGGCCGGGACTGGCGGCGGATCTGGTGGTGGCCCTGGCGGGGTGTGAGGGCTCTTGGGCCTCGGTGGCGTGGGCAGCCGCTTGAGATCCTTCTTCTTTGCGGCTCTCACTCGGGAGCCCGACACAGAGCTATCTCGGCTCGTCAACCTGCGGCGCCTCTTCCGGTCCTTCTTTTCCTTCTCCCTGTGCCTCTTCTCCTTTTTCTTTCTTCGCCGGGAGGAAGAGCTTGTTGAGGACGGACTCTTGCTCCTCTTCTTCTTCTCCTTTTTCTCCTCCTTGGCTTTGGGAGTCTCTTTTGACTCCCCTTTGGACTGTTAGCGGCGGCTTCACTCGGCTGCTCAACCTCACGGGGGGTGTCAACCAATGCTTTGGGCTCCGCCTTCTTCTTCGTGCAGAGCCCTTTGCTAGGGGATCGGCCTCTGGATGCACCTCGCGGTGGTTGGCTGGGTCGAGGAAGGGTTCGGTTTTGGGAGGTCACACGGTCTCCTCCCTTATCTTGGGGGCTCGGTTGGGTGGGTGGTGCCTTCGAAGGGGGTGCTACTGCTCGGTGAGGCTTCTCCTGGGTCTGCTTGTCTCTGGGCTCTTCTCTTCTCTTTAACGGGCTTCTCCCTCTGGCGCTCGAAGCTTGTGGATGGGAGTCGTCCTCTTTGGCCTCGAGTTCCCGAAGCTTCCCTATCCACTCTTCCAGGAGGCTGTGACACTCCTGCAAGAACACAACCGCAGTTTCGTCTCTCTCTGCGGAGACTACGCTTCTGAGCGATACCTGCAGTTGCCAGCCTCTCCTGCACGGCTCGCAGATGGAGAGTTCTGTACTTCGAACCACGAAGTGCTGGCAACGCTCGCACTTTGGGAGGGGGTCTTTGGCACCCCCTCCCATCCAAATCCTTTAAGAGCCCGATGCTACGGTGAAATAAGATGAGTTCTGTGCTTAATTATGAGGACATTAATCCATCTATATATAATGATGGGTAAAGTTGGGAAACCACATGAAATATATCAACCCAGATACTGTGCCAGATCGTTTGTTTCCTCATCTCCATAGGTATGCCCAATTTCTACTCCCAGCTGTTGCTGGAAGTGGGCGTAGTTGCGCATGTCCAAAATATGGCAATGCCACAGAAGGTCCAGCTCTTCAGAGGGGGGAGAGTAGTTCCTAGCTTTTCCACCCAAGCAGAATTTCTGGCACCAAAAACAGACCTGAAAAACAAAGCCAAATAATGCTAAGAAAACAAAACTGCCAGAAATGTACAGAAATGTCGAGTCTCTTCATGGGCTGCAACAAAATCGCAGCATACCAAATCTTCAGAGCCCGCTCTGCAAGCGCCACATACTCCTGCTCTGAGACTGGGAGCTCTCCCATGCTCGCAGGTCTTTGTCGCACTGCACAATTGGCATACTTGCTGAAATTCCATACTTGCAGCTTCTCAATCTGGGCGTTCAGCGTGTTTTGGTCTGGCTCTGAAGTCACAGTCACGCTGTCTGATGCCTTCGCATGCATGGAGGCAACAGCAAGTACGAAAAGGCTCAACACCATAGCTGGCATCACGAAACTTTCGGATATGCGTTGAACCTATGGAGCTGGCAGCAAAACACTGCGTCGGAAGTGACGCTTAAAAAATGCAAGGTCGGATGTGAATGATATCATCCCAGATTTGCACTTCCATCCCATCTCATCTGAGCATCCCGACAACGAAACCAAGAAGGCCAAAATTAAGACATGTAGGACGGAGTGGGAAAATTCTAATAGCAACAACAATCATCACCCTCATCCAATCACAATATCACAGTGACAGTTACGGGCAAAAATGTTCCCCAATCCCCATAGGAAAACATCAAAGGTGGGGATGAAAGATTGAACAGGTGCGAATCGAGGGCATATTGTCCCGAACTGATGGAGTTGATGTTTTGTGGCAGTTGGGCGAGTTCTTCTTTGAGTTTTGGCTCATCCACCAGTCCTGCCAGCTGTCCGTTGACATCTTGAAGAGCCTTCCGATTTGTATCGACGAAGCGTGTGGTTTTCCAACATCAACCCCCCCCCAAACTCCACCTCGTCGAAGAGCCGGTCCAACGGATGTCCGGGCAATCGACTCCTGGCGCGGGAAAAACGGTCGTTCGAAGCGCGGCGCTGCGCCGCGACCGCGCCGCGTTCCCACCGCGATAATCTAATTCCATTATTCATTTATCTATCTATTATTAATATATTAGGTTGAAGATCACCTACAGCATTTATATGTTATAGTCATTATATTTATATTTCTTTTCATTCTATTATTATATATATCTTGTATTTTGCTATAGCTCTTATGATTTTATAGGTTTATTATATCTATTATTGCTCCTACATATTTAATATTATTATTCTAATGGTTGTGGGCTGAATCCTCTTATTATTATATTATGGTTTATTATTCTTGTTCACTAATATTAGTTATATCATTGTTTGGTCATACATTCTCTCTTATTTTATGGTCATTTACTTTTATTATTTGGTGATACACTTCTTATTATTTCTATCCTTTATATTTCTTATCTATATTATTATTATATCTTATGGATTCTTGATTTTCATCTTATGGTTGTAATTTATTATTTATCTCTCTCTTTCATATATTTTATTATCCATATTATTATCAAGCATTATATGTTGTTATAGCTATAGACCATTATCTATTATATTATATTATCTATATGCTATCATCCTTATATATTATTTCTAGTCAATGGATTATTATTAATTATCTGTCATCTCTTTTTCTTATCTCTATATCTATATGCGGGTTAATAATATTTATATCTCTTATTTCTTAACCCGCATATTATTGTTCTTTATCTCTTATTCTTTTCTATCTCTTATATATTTATAGGCTTTTAACTTTAAAGCCGTATATTTATATGTCTCTTATTATTTGTGTTAACATCATATTAAATATATCTCTTTCATATCTTTCAACAGCAAAAATTATTCTCTTTTATTATTTTTGCTGCCTTCTTCGTATATTGGGACTAAGGACTTATGAATCGAGAATTAATTTTAATTCGAAGATGAATGGCAAGGGTAACAGCGAATGAATATAAAAATGAGCTGTCCTACAACCTACAAACATATGAACCAACAATGAATGAAATGGAATGAAATGTAATGTAATGAATTGGCAGGTGAATGGATAGGGAATATGAATGATTAAAAATATATATCTTTTATATATTATTTAATCATGAATGGACCTAGAGACAGCATTTTTATTAATGAAAGTTATGAAATTAAATAAAAATGCCCACCGTTCATCTTCGTAATTTGAACAGCCACAACTTATGAATTGAATGAAACGAAGTGAATGAAAATGAATGGAGAAGGAACCATGGAATGAAATGGAATGGCAAGCAGAAATAATATTGTGCTAACATCATATAAATAAAGTTGGCCTTTTCTTTTAATATCTTATTTGGCCAAAGAATATAAATAAATGGCTTGTGGGGCGTCAAGGGAATATGAATTTTGATTGAAATGAAATGCAATGGAATGAAATGAAAAATGAATGGGAGAGATGGCAAAATACAAGCCTTTAATAATAAGAGAGGTACCCTGTCTATAAGCCAATCTTGACATTGGCCCACCTTTAAATTAATAAAATGAAGAATGAAATTTCCATTAATTTAAAGGCCATATCATGCATTTCTTTATCATAATTCTATTGAACATATAAATTATGAAGAAATGCAAATAAAAGATAAATAATATCATGGTATTTTCTAGAATTAACAATCTCTTATTATTATTATCTCTATTTATTATCTAGAAAATACCATGAATGAAATAATTCTATTAATGATTTCCTCTATAATTTTACTATCTCTTAATTTAAAAGAGGAAATCATTAAATATAAAGCAAAATCCATTATTAAAGATCACTATTTTCATGGATTTTGCTATATTTTTATTATTCTATTATATTAACGCCCATTGCCAACATTTATTTCTTCTTTTATATTATTCAATGGGCGTTATAATCTCTTATATCATTTATTTCTTATTATTCCCCAGCAATTTTCATCATATTTCATTCTCTTATCATAAAATTGCTGGGTGTTATCATCATATATTTGCAATTTATTTCTTAGGGTTCAAGGGTCACTTCACAAAGGTAAAAACTGTAGGAGCAAAATAAATTGCAAATCAATAATATAAACATTCACTTTTTTCAATAATATAAAGACTACCCTGACCAAGCGTCTATTGGTACGAATAGAAAAAAGTGAATGAATTAATTTCTGTTTTATATGAAATGAAAGGGAATGCAAAACAGAAATTAATAGAATGAACCAATGAATGACAAATGTAGGCTAGAACGCTATCAATTGATTTTATGGGGTTTATTGTCTCAGCCCACATTTGTCCATCTATCTCTTCTATTTTTTATTATCTTCAATTATATTAATTCTCCTATTCAATTTATAAAAATAGAAGAGATAGATTATAGATGAATGATGATGAAATTAAATAAGAAATACCATAAATTTCATCATCATATTATTCATTTCTTACTTATATGACATTGAGCACCATCTTTTATTTTTATATGATGGTGCGGCTATAGGCTAGGTCATATATTCTCTTTCCATTATTTATATTCTCTTATCTATCATATATTCTCTTATCTAATGGCCTAGCCTATCAACCAACATTTATTTATATTTATTAACCAACATTTATTTATATAGGCTAGCCCATTTACTTTTATTATCTGTTATCTCTTTATCTATTTACATGGGCTAGCCACCTATCTTTTATTTAAATATATGGCAGCCATTAACTTTTCCATTTCTTTTTATTCAAAATGGCTGCCAGATAATATATAAGGTGACTAGCCGATAACTTTGCAATCTATTTTTAATTTAAGATTGCAATCCTCTTAAGATAAGAGGTAATAATAATAAAGAGAGACATCCATAATTCCATTTCATAAAGACACCAAAAGGAAAGGAAGAAAGCAAAATGAAATGGAATTATGCTTACAGGATTCTTCATTCTAATTCTATAGGTGATTGATGAGAATGAAGAATCCATATCTTTTACTTATATTATTCATTATCCACCAATTTTAATGTCTCTTATGTCATTAACTGTAAAAATTGGTGGATAATTCATTGTAATTCTCTTTTTATTTGGGAATTTCTTATTCATGAATTACTTATTAAAGAAATTCCCAATCATGTAATAAAACAATATAAGAGATATATCCGTGCCGATGGCTTGTCAAAGATATTATATTATTGTCATCGGCACGATCCTTCATTATATTTATTGGCTTCTTTAATATTAAGAGACTATAGATGAAAAAGAAGCCAATAAGAAGAAAAGAATATAATTAATGAACCGGCACACATTTATCTATTTTCATTATATGGTGTGCCGGATAATAACTAATAAATAAATATGAGGGATTTTTCCATTAATAATATCATTCTTTACTTAATTCAATGGAAAAATCCTTAATTATTAATCTATATCTTATATTATGGTGGAACACCAATATTAAAATGAAAGAATAATATTATTTGGGGTGTTCCACCATCATATATTATATATTATATTATTATCTGGCAAAATGCTTTAATAAAAGAGAATTACTATAATATAGCATTTTGCCTTCATGATTAATAATATGACTGCCTTGCTATAAATTAAATATAAAAGATATGGATTATAAATTAGCAAGGCAGTTAATAATTAAATATAATGGTTTATTATTTGTGTTCTTTGTCTCTTAGGAATGAAAAATCATAAGGTCACTTATTTCCTTGGTATTTCTTATTCATGATTTTTCATTCTCAAGTTCCTTCAAATTCCTTACGGTTGGTAGCTCTTAAGTTGTAGGAATGTTGGACCTTCCTTGACTGGCGGTTGAACTCAGAGAATGATTCGCTAGTACACGGTCAACCGCCAGGCCAAGAGCAGGGGGCCCCAGATCCAAGAAGGGGCCCAGTCAGACACGGCGGCTGTAAGCGAGGGAAAGGTCCTAAGGTAGCAAAATTCCTTATCTTTTCGTATCTTTCCAGGAATTTTGCCCTCCTGTCCCACCTTAAAAATCCTCTGCATAAAAGGAAAATTACTGACGAACCGTGGATTTTTAAGTGTAATTATTTATAGCTCATAAATTATTCGCATTCGTATCTTTTATTTTTATAAGATACGAGGTCATCGGTTAGTCTATAGATTAAAGGCGTTAACACGATTATTTATATTTCTTTATTATTTATCGCCCTTAAGTTATTTTTGGGCGAGTCTTTATATTATAATATGGCTTCTTTATTATAAAAAGATATAGAAAATTAAAGAAGCCATAATAAAAATTAATATCTTAAATAATTAATGGCTTTTATCATGAAAGAGATTTTATAAAGATAAAAGCCATTATAGTTATATTAATTATAGATTTAATATATTATTGGCTTTTTATGCGTAACCTCTGAACCTAAAGACTGATGAAAAGATGGAAGGGGAAATAAAAAGCCAATAATAAAACATTAAATATATTATACGATAGCCATTGGCCCACCAACTATTAAAAATTAAAGTTGGTGTCCCAGGAATTTTATTGAAATATAAAATTCTTGGCTATCATAATAATAATAAAGGGAAAAATATCTTATTATGATTTTTCCCATGGCATTTTTAATATTAGAAATTACTTATTAATTAAAAATGCCAAATATATTATGATTATTAGGGAATTTTTCAATAAAATAAATACATAAGAAAAATTTCCCCTGGCTTTTGGAAATAGAAATTAATATTAATCCAAAAGCCAGAAAATATAAATAATAAATAAATGTATGGATTTCTTCTTATTAAGAGATTTTTGTATTAAAGAAGAAATCCATGAATTATAATAAACATAGATATAGCATTTTAATAATAAAAGATACATAAATTAAATTAAAATGCTATATCTGGGGCAGCCAAGTCATATCCTGCCCACCAACATTAAATTCATGAAAGTAAATAGCTGATAGAAAGAAATAAAAAAGGTGGGCAGAAATAATAAATGACTTGGGTGCCTCTTGTTATCTCTTAAGTCATTATATTATT